TCACCCCGCCTCGCTCCGCCTCCCCGAGTGCCACCCCGCGGGGGGATCCCCCCGACCCCACGCCCCGGGGGCCGCTCACCCGGCTGGAAGTGGTCCTTGAACACCTCTCCGCCGAAGAAGGAGCAGAAGGACATGGCTGCACCCGCACCCCCGGCCCGTTCCGCCCGCCCGGCCTCGCCCCTTCCGCCGGGCCCCGCCCCGGGCCCGCCCCGGCCCCGCGGGGGGCGCTGGAGCCGCCGCACCGGGAGGGTCCCGCAACCGGGGGGGCTCCTCTCGCACCCTCCCCCACCTCGGGGAGTCCCGGGGCGGGCCCCGCAGCCCCCTCCGGTGCGGGGGGGACGCAGAGGGGGAGCCCCGGGGGTGCGGGCGAGGGGCGCGGGGCGGGGCGGGGCGGCGGGCGCGGGGCGGAGCGCGGAGTCGGCACACGGTGCTGCGGATGCTCCGGCCCCGCCGAAGGGAGCGGGGCGGGCGCCAAGCCCGGCACCGGGCACCCGCACCGGGCACCGGGCATCCGCACCGGGCACTGGGCATCCACACTGGGCACCCGCACCCGGCAGCGGCACCGGCTCTTCACCCCCCGTACCGGCACCCGCACCGGCTCCAGCTCCGGCCCTGCTATCCCGGCACCGACATCAGGATCGGCCGGCCTCCATCAGCGCCGGCACCGTCACTGTCACTGGCACCAGCACCGGCTCTTCTTCCCCGGCACAAGGTCCGGTCGTCCCTGGCACCGGGATTGACCCCCCCGTTATCCTCCCCTGGTACTGGGATCGGTCCGACTCCCCGGCATTACTCGTCCTTCTCCATCACCGGGACCGACCGACTCTCCCCCGGGGCCCCCCCTCCTGCCGCAGGTACTGGCACTGCGGGGCCCGGGGCGGGCGGCGGGGCCGGGGCAGCCCCAGTTTCCCCAGCAGGGCGGTGGGTGGGTGGTGGTCGGGACTGGGGGTCCCCCCAGGCACCCCCAGGGCTCCGGGGATGGGTGATTGCACAGGTTCAGCGGGGATGCCCCGTCCCGCCGCCCCGGGAGCGCAGAGCCGGGGTGACCCGTGGGGACCCTCCCGCAGGGGGGTGCGGGGACTCAGCGAGGCCCCTGCAGGCTCGAGGGGTCCCGGACAGGCGGAGGCAGCAGCCCTGTGTGTGGCAAGGTGAGGGCTTTGAAGGTGAACCTTGGCAGGTTCTGGAGGGGATGAGCTGCTGCAGCTCCTTTCTCCTTCCAAAAACCAGCACTGCAAGTCCCTTCTTCCCTAGTTTATCCAAGGACCCTCGGATGAGTCCCCGGCCTTGGGCTCTCATGGAAGTGGCACCTTCTTGGCGCAAGAGGATAAATTTTGGCTCCCTTTGGGGCACGAGCCGGGATCTGTCCCTGCGACAGCAGCGACTCTTCCTGAATGCCAGAGGACCTGTCCCTGGGCCAGGAGTTCCCCCGGGGGCTGCGGGACCCCCGAGAGGGGCAGGCACCGGCGGGGCTCCTGCCCGCTGGGTGCTGCCGCTTTGAATTAGGTCAGGCTTCATCTCGGGCCGGCTGAGCTCCCGCTCCAGCCCCGGGGATTGATGACTCGTGGCAGGAGCCCGGGCAGGGGGAGGAAGGGGCTCTGCCGCTGCCCCGTGGGGCACAGGGAGCCGGGAATGCGCCGTGCGGCACGGAGACAGGCTGATGCCATGTGCTGGAAGCACCTCCTGGAAGATCCACCGAGATCAGAGGAGCAGGATGTCAGGAAAAGCTCCAAATAGACTCCAAGGCCCTGAACACCTTCAGGGCACGGATTTCCAGCCGGTGGAAGGAGCTGCAGCAGCTGCCGGGCCCTGGGTCTGGGCAGCATTGTCCATCCAGTGTCTGCTGCTCACCCAAATTCCCATGGGGAAGCTGTGCTGGCACAAATGTGATGGATGTGGGAACTGGCTGGATCCTTCCCCAGGGCTGAGAGCTCCCATGAGGGATGTGAAGGTCTCTGGAATGATGAGCAGAGGGTGTGAATGGCTGAGACCTGGGAGTGAAGCAAAGTCCATGGAGAGGCAGGGCTGGGCTCAAGCTCTGGGACGCACAGGGTGGTGGAGAGGCTTTGGGAGTGGGTCCTGGGCTGGCTGGCTCTCAGAATCCCGCTGGAGTCATTCCAGAGGTGCCAAAGCCCACCTGGCTCCTCACTCCCCCAGCAGCATGAGATCCACTCCAGTATCCACCAGTAAAACCCCTGAGAAAGAGCATTGTGGAAGTGGGAACAGAGGATGGAGCTGGGATCCTGCACTGCCCAAGCCATTGCCTGAAGTGACATCCTGAGGCTGCAGGGAGAGCCCAGCACTCCTTGATCTCGGGATGATGGGAGCACTCAGGGGGCAGTGTCACAGCTGGGTTCTGTGCTTTGTGGAGATAATTGGAGAGGGATTTCCAGCTCCTTTGTCTGGGCTAGGAAAGCCCAGCAGAGCAGTGCTGCTCTCACCTAATTAACCTGAGGGCTGAGGGAAGTTAATGTTTCCATTAACTCCCCCTGATTTGACAAACAGCAAATGCCAGCCGGGCAGTGCAGTGCCCGCTTGGGAGCAAGTTAGAGGGAGCATCCCTGGTGCCATGCTGGGCCAGCTCCCGCTCCCTGGGCATGTGAGGGGAGTATCTGGTGGGGGAGACATTCTGAGACACCAGCCCAAGCTGGGCCATAGCTTCTCTCTGTGTCCTGAATGTGAACCAGAGCTGGGAGCAGGGAGCAGATATTTGGAGCTGGAATCCAGTGGAGACACTTACTGATGGTTACGGCTTTGGTGTTTCCAACTGCAGTGAGGGGGGACACAGTCAGTGGGGGTCTTGTGTCCCTGCCCTGCAGAGAAGCCCTGGCCTGGGTGTCCCAAGCACTGCTCCTCAGTGGAACATCCAGCACAGCACTGATTCCTTCCAGGTACCACCAGGGCTATGGGGATGCCCCCTGAGAGCTGTTTGATGGTGCCTCCAAAGCCACCGCCATCCCCATCGCCCCACCACCCAGCTGAACCCACCCAGCTGCCCCCAGCACTTGATGAAAACACATGCCAGAACCTTCCTATCCAATTTATCCTGGAAAGAGCAAAAAGATTCCCCCTATCCTGCACGGTCACAGGCTGGGGACGAGCTCTGGGCTGGGAGGTGGGTTTGTGCTGGGGCACCTCTGCACTCAGCATGTGCCCTCTGAAGCCTGAGCCAGCAGCAAAGCCTCCCCCAGGGCTGCCCAGTGTGGACCCTCCATCTCGGGGTGCTGGTGGTCCAGCTGTGGCACCCAGTGGGGTCCATCCCCAGCACCCCCTCCCCAGAGGTGGCTGTTGCAGCAGCGTAGCCCCCGCGGTACTCGCCGTCCCTGCCAGAGGAGAATTCCCATACAAACCCAGGCTATTATTATCTCTGTCTTCCACCGTGCTAATGGTCTCTCAGGAAACAGACTTTTTTTTTTTTTTTTTTCCCTTTTTTTTTTTTTTAGCTTTTAAAACCCACGAGTAGGGGAGCAGTGGGAGCAGAGAGACACGGCCGAGGGGAGCTCCGAGCCCAGAGCAGGGACCTGGTGTCCCCCTGACCCGGTGGGGACAGGGAGCGGTGGCCACGCAGGACCCACCAAGGACCAGCCCCGGGGCGTTCTGGTAGGAACAGCCAAGGGTGATGGGCAGAACTGGGGATACTGGGGATGGCTGTGGCACGGGGGCACTGGGAAACCTGCATGATGAGGGGCAAGGGGCGTCCCAGCTTCTGTGCTTGGGTGGGAGGTGAACAGGGCCCTGCAGGATCAGGGAGAGGATCCCTTGAAATCACAGAATCATGGAATGGTTACGGTTGGGAGTGACCTTAAGGCCATCGAGTCCCTATCACGGGCAGAGACGCTTTCCACTAGAATAAATCCCTTCTCAGGCCCAGCTCCATCACTCATTTTCCTCTGCTCTCTCCTTGTTTGGCTGCTTTGGTGCTTTGGTGGGTGTCCTGGACCGCTCTGTCTGCCGGGGGTGCTGGTGGTGCCAGTGCTGCCACAACCCTGCCCTCAGGCTGGATGGCACCAGCCCCCCAGCCAGGGTCTCTGCTGGCTGCTGGCACCAGGGGGGCAATCACCCATGGATGATCTGGGTTAACAAGTGGCTCCTGTAAATCAGAAGCAAAGCAAGAGCTGAGGAATGTGAGATTATATAAAGGGGGCTGGAGGCAGCTGCAGCACAGCCTGTAATTAATTCCTGGCACTGAGGAGCTTTGAAGATCCAGGGCGGCGCAGTGCCGGGTGTGAGGCAGCCCCAGGGTTCCTGGGATGGCATCCCTGCTCCTGCAGCAGGGATGCCACGAGGGGAAGAGGCTGAGCACCCCACGGACCTGCTGGCAGCTGGCTCTGAAGAGCCCATCCTGCAGATCCATCCTCCCTCCCAGAATCGCAGAGGGGGCACAGCTTGGGAGTGGGTCAGCCCCTGGCTTTGGGAGTGGGTCAGCCCCTGGCTTTGGGAGTGGGTCAGCCCCTGGCTTTGGCAGGAGCGCAGGTGTGAGGGATCATGGTGGCTGGTGGGGACAGGACAGCACTTTGCCAAGGCCAAGGACACCCTCAAGGCTACAGAAACTTTGCTAGGGAAACTCTTGTGCCCCTCCAGTAAAACCAGAGATTCCTGACCTGCAGAGGGTCCTCACACTGCACTTGGACCAGAGCTCAGACTGGCTCCGTTTCGGGTTCGTGCAGTGCATGAAGAGGGAGCCAAACCACTGTTGGTTTTGCCAGAAACATTCAGAGGAGTCAGGGAGTCCTGCCTGCTGGCCTGGCATCCCTCCTTGCAGCCCCAGCACTTGCACTGGGACCAATAGAACGTCCTGGTGCAGGAAAATCCCCCTCACTGGGCTGCAGACCTGGCTGGTGGTTTCGGGTTCTCAGAAGCCCCGTTGCTAATTGCCTGCCTGAGGTTTATCCTCGTTAGACAAGCGGTTCCCCACACCCCATCACTGAGCTCATCTTACCATGGCGCCTCCTCCATCCCATCCCTGCCGGGAAGACCAGGGAGAGCCCACAGGCTCTGTGCCCCAAGTGCATCCCAAAATAGGCTGGAAGGTGCCCAGTTACCCCAGTAACAGGGTCCCTGGGGTCAGCCTGCTCTTGCTCAGGGCTCATGGCAGTGGTGCTGGGGAAGGCAGGGCAGGGGCAGGCCCGTGCTGTGCCCTGAGGTGTCTCGGAGCTGAGCCAACCCCTCTGTTCCCCCTGCAGC